GAATCATACAAAACCTTTTGAGGTAAAATAATCACAAATGACATAGCAGGAGCACAAGGTCGCAACCCACCAATAGTCATTTGCGAGTTTGTTCGTCGACTGAGAGGGCTGGTACTTGTAGGATTTCGCACGGGCAGTATCCTCGTCTTCTCCAGGTACGACCATGACAGCATCTCCGACCTGAGGCAAATAAAACATTTTTGTAGAGAAGCAAAAAAGAACTTACTGAATACTTTACTTCATCTACAAGAACAGAAACGTAAAAGCCAGGACGGTCATCCACAGGGTCCAGCCACTGCACAGAGTTCGGGTTGGCGGCGTGTATTATAGAGGGATGCCGTGGCACGTCGTCCGATGCATGCATGTCCTCGTCCATGAGCTTTCCAGCAACCTTGATATTTTCGAATAATCGTTGTGCGACCCTTCCGACGCCGGGTGTTGCGACGGTTTTGTTCCTGTGCTTAAGAACTTCTTTCTCGATATTACCGGAACTCGAAGAACGACTCTGGGGCGGGCGCTGGGTACGCGAACGGGAGGAGGGAGCAGTTGCCTCCATCAAGTGATAAGACATTTCTTGCCCGACAATGTCCTTCACTGCCGGTGTGCGCGCAACGTAGATTCCGTCATCGCGAAGCTCGTCGAGTGTTGCAAAAACATAAGATTTCTGTTCGACAGTCAGAGACTGATGCAACAACAGGAAACATAGATATACATACAATGTCGGCAGACTGTAAGTCATTCTCATTGAGCTCACGCCCGATGATGGTTAATGCAACAGAAACTTCATCGGGCGAGTCAGGAGTTATGTGAAGGGAAGAAACAAAGTCTTCATAAGTCAACCGTGGGCTAGCCAGGGCCATAGACACGAGGAGATGGGCGACTCGATGCCTGAGCCACAAGCCACGAAAGAAGGGGGCATATTGTTCTGAAGGAAGGTGGAGAATATACCAAGCATGTTCCGTTAGAATATAAAACTTGCTGGATATTTCCAAATCAGTTGCAAACTACATCAGTATCATAGATAAATACTTACTCATCGAGTTCTCTAGAACGCTGTCGTATGTCGTGAATCGTGAACTTCCGGATCTCTGTCAAACGAATCCGTTGGAGGCAATCCTCGTCGTCAGACATACCATTCCTGTTATCCTCATCGTCGTAGTTATCATCATAGTATTCATCGACATCCATATGAGATTTCACAAAACCCGAGGCACGGTACATCTCGTTGTTCACCGCAAGGTTGACGTTAAGTAGCTCACCAATAGGCACTAGCTGTTGTTTTGCGCACTCGTATATGGCGAAATCTGTTAATATGCGTACGGGAACACCCTCAGAATTGCCACAGTCAGACTGTTCAGTGGGGTCGGTTTCGCCTATGACCTGAAAGTTCTCGTCCTCGTCGTATTCGTCGTCAGGAGGGACATAAATCAGCGTTTCTAAAACGAATGTGAAGGAGATGATGCGAGATATTTAGATAGACGTGCCTTCAGGTGATGCGAGTTCCTTTGGTTCAGATTGCTGTTGTGGTGGCTGTGCCACCTCCGAGTCATTGAGCACGGACGAGTTGCGTACAACGAGGGTTAATTCCTCTGATGCGTCTGAATCAACCTGCTCACGACCACCTTTTTATATCAGCTTGATGACATGGAGTGGCTAGCTTACTACGCGTGAAAGTAACCTCTTCCTTCTTTTCTTTCCGACGCGTGAGGACTGGGGCTCATGCTCTGCAACCCTCTTCGAGGCCGTTTTCGAGGATGATGTGCGGGAAGACATGGGCCCAAAGTGCCGCTTCTTCGACATAAATTATGCTTGGTGGGTCCCCGTACGAAGATAAAGGCTCAGGAGTAACAAATACCAACTACTAAGGGATCTATACTTAACCGAAAAGTTTAGTAACAAAACAGGATGATTTGGGGGGTCGACCGAGGGCTGATCTTCTGTTTGCGCTTTGTTGCCACTGGCACGTGGCAAAGTATAATTATCCGAGATAGTCGCTAGCAAAATCGCTCGCCGTCATTCCCAGTTGCTGACAACTGTCATGCGACTGCCCCTCCAGCTTCTTCTAGCTTTTTTGATTCAGCAATGCATCTGCGCTTCACAGCCAGCCAAGCGCTCTTATACAACACACGATTATTATGTACTCGAGCATTACCCTTCCGCAGGTGCAACTCTAAATGAATGCACCGAAGAACTTGGAGTGGAACTCGTCGAACAGGTCGGAGAATTGCGAAACATATGGCTCGTGCGCTCCGCAAAACTCATATCCAGCGTTTCTCCAAGGACAGTATCAGACGGAGTCCTTGGCAAGTTCGAGGATTTGGCCGACCTTGCAGCCCATTCCAGTAGTCTATATCCGCGGGCGGGTCGCCAAGCCCGTGCACATCGCATATTATCGTCTATAAAATATTTATCGCCCCAGATACCCCGCCAACGGACAAAGCGAGACGGCTCTTTCCTAGAACGTGCACCACCTCCCGTGAATCCCGGCGACCCTCAACCGAAAGCCTCTGAGATCATTGCAGAACGACTTGGATTTGTGGACCCCCTATTTACACAACAATGGCATATCGTTAACGACCAATACCCCGAGCATATGATGAACGTGACGGGTGTGTGGGAAATGGGCATCACGGGGGAAGGTATCATTACTTCGTTGGTGGATGATGGATTGGACTACCGGAGTCGAGACTTGGCTGAAAACTTCGTGCGCTATACTCTGTGTGATTCATTTTGGCACTGACTTTCTTAAAGGATGCTGACAATTCATACGACTTCAACGACCATACCGATTTGCCCACCCCAGTTCTTTCTAATGATAATCATGGCACGCGCTGTGCTGGCCAGATCGCCGCAGTCAAAAACGATGTCTGCGGCGTCGGACTCGCTTACAAGTCAAAAGTTGCCGGCGTGCGCATATTATCTGGACCTATAACCGACGCCGACGAGGCGGCTGCCTTGAACTACGGCTTGCACAATGTGTCCATCTTTAGTTGCAGTTGGGGACCGCCTGATGATGGCAAGTCGATGGAAGCGCCGGAATATATCATCGAAAAAGCTTTTGTAAATGGTATACAAAACGGTAGGGAAGGGAAAGGTTCAATATATGTTTTTGCCAGCGGAAACGGGGCTGCACATGGAGACCAATGCAATTTCGATGGGTACACCAATAGCATATACTCCGTCACAGTCTCAGCCGTAGACTTTAAAGGCCTACATCCATATTATTCTGAACCCTGCTCTGCCAATATGGTTGTAGCATACAGCTCAGGGAGCGGTCAACATATTGTAAGCCTGCGATTCCGCGTGTCGAAGCCAACTGAAGTTATTCGAAGGTCACTACTGACACCAATGATAAATGTTCCAACAATCACGGTGGTACCTCCGCTGCCGCCCCCAATGCGGCTGGTGTATTTGCTTTGGTACTTCAAGTTCGGTGAGACTTTTATTTCTTCACAGGACTTACATTGATGATTTTTTTTTCATGACAGGCCTGACCTGACATGGCGAGACATACAACATATTTGCGTGAAAACTGCCCAGATGATAAACCCTGAGGATCCTGACTGGGAACCCATGGCTTCTGGACAGATGTACTCGTACAAATACGGTTTCGGGCAGCTCAATGCCTACGCCTATATTCAAGCAGCACAGGATTGGCAGCTTGTGAAACCGCAAGCGCGCTTCCACCCTCCTGCTGTGCAGATCAACAACGGTACCTTGCTCACGGAGGATGGTGACATGGAAGGCGGGCAGTTGATTGTCCCTGGAGGTATCACGAGCTCGTTCACGGTGACGCAAGACATGCTTGACACGCACAACTTTGAGGGGTTGGAGCACGTGACAGTTAGAGTGTGGATATCGCACACCAAGCGCGGGGATGTCGAAGTCGAGCTTACGAGCCCTGGTGGGGTACGCAGCGTTCTTGCAGCTAAGCGGGATGGCGACCACGACAGGACTGGTTTTAGAGGGTGGAGATTTATGTCCGTCAAGCACTGGTATGATTGTTGTGTTTCACAAGACTCATTCGAGGTTGTTAAGTGTTTTCGCAGGGGTGAAAATGCGGTTGGCACCTGGACGCTCAAGGTCTCTGATCAATCATCCGAAGGGCACAACGGAACTTTCCATGGCTGGCGTCTCATGTTCTGGGGCTCATCCATCGATCCCAGTGTCTTAACAACTTACGTTCTTCCGCTTTCAGAGTATCAGCTTCCTTCCACAGCTGACGACGACGCAATTAACATCCCCACATCGACATCAAGCAAATCCCACCCTAAGCCTACTTCTGGTCTCCCAGACGATCATGGTACTGCCGAAGGCGAAGCCAACAAACCTGCGTTCCCATCCCCGTCCGTACCCGCGACCGCAACGATGACGCCCACACCAGACGAAGGGTGGTTCTCAGACATGTCCAACCTCGTGTCTAGCCAGAAATGGTTCTTTGGCGCTATTGGCGCAGTAGTGCTCTTTGGTGTTGGTGCAGCAGTGTTTTTCTGGAGACGCCGCGTGAAGCATCGGGCGTACGCTGCGCTTAGTGCGGGCGATGAACTGCAGATGAACTCGGTCTCAAGGCAAGGCAGGCCCCGTGCCAAGGAGCTGTATGATGCGTTTGGGGAGCTGTCGGATGACGAGGATGCAGATGAGGAGACTCGGTTGCATGGTGTAGGGTTTCACTCTGGGTTCTTGGACGATGATGAGCCATCGGCTGCGGGCCCTGCCCCCGTGTACAGAGACGAGCCTCAACGGGAGCATGATGCGAGTCCCGATGTAAGATCTTTAAGCCCTGGGAGCGGCAGCGGCAGTGGAGACGGGAGCTGGGAGCATGCTTCTCAGACACCTTGATTTATATGATTTATGTACGTACTTTTTTGTGGTGGCATTTCCTTTATGTGCATAGAGGATATGGGCTGCATCTCGTATTTCGTCAACACCTATATTATATACCACTCGAGCATTATAAACGGGACGTCAGGATACATCAGCATCTACAACTGCTTGTGTAGAACCATCTCTACGATAGACCAAAAGTACATAACGACGATGGTGTACAACCGTGGCATCAAATTTGGTATCCGTGTAATAGAAGTGTTGAGATCAAAACAATCAATGCAGACACAGTGGAAATTCAAGTAACGCAAGTGGATAGAAGTGAAAACACAATGAGCTATCCGCGAGCGTGAGCATCGCCACCATTATGCTGGTGTGACGACTGGGTAGGCTCCAAGTCCCATCGAGAAGGCGTCCTCAGTCTACCATCAGGCCAGCAGGAGAGGTAGCAGAGGAATGCCATGAGCCAATGCACATTCGGGAGTGAATCGGCGTAAGAGACCACGGATGTTGTGTCGCTTTGTGCCGTGTCATGGAATACAGGCTCTTCTCTAGGCGGCCGTCGAGTGTCATTAGCTTTCCTGTAATGGGGCACGGAGATAACAACGACACGCTGTAGAGTGCTAAACTTCAAACAGGAAAGGAGCAATAAGATCCAGCTTACCTCCGTAGCGTGCCCAGCTGCGACTCGTGGCTGGGTCGGACTGGGCATCGACCGACGGAAAGGAAGGTGCTGTAGGAATTGTGCCTTTTGGGGGTGGTGGAGATGTCCGGCTGACGGGTATGCTTGCGGTGATTTCCTGCGAAATGGTAGCCGATTTACTAACGCCATGATGCGAGACCGTGGTGCAGAGCGCTGTGACATTCCGTGTGGAATGTGGTTGGGACGGCGGGGCGGATAAATCTGGGGATGGGTTCAGCCATGCTTCAAGATGAACCTAGATGAGGACTGACATCAAAAAATTCATCATCTAGTAATGGTAAGTCTGAGAGGTCCTGCCGAAAGAATGTTTAGGGATGGTGAAAAAAAGACGGAAATTGCTTGCCTTTTGGCTGATTTATTTTGAGGAACTGTCCAGCTGGATTCTGTACTTGCCATTTTTGGCATGTGATACAAAGTCCGATGATGGAGGCAGAGTACACTGTGCACAGTGACTGCTTCACGACCAACATTTATGTTACGCACCTGGATTGAATTCATACGAAAATACTTACTTTGGGTAATGCGCACTGCAGGAACGGATATAATTTCTCGACCTCATTTTGGTAATTAAAGCACATGATTATGGTATGACTCTAGTATCGCCGTCACTCTCATTGCCATACGTCCACCAAGTTTGCCTCTCACCCACACTAGTACTCATTCTCTACCAATATGACCATAGTCTCAAACGATCCCACTTTGTGGCCGACCATAAACGTATATCGTTATTCCAGTTATCTTGTAGGTTCGTGGAGAGCAGTTGAATATTGAAGTTGACTCATTCTAACTTTAGCTGCGGTTTTGCAGTTGCCATTTTTGTTGGAGTGACATATGATTGGGGTGAGCATGATGATATTGAATGACTGCTGATATCCTAGAACTACTATTTCAGCACTTTCTTTCGGACAGGAGGTATGTCAATCATGATGCTATGGCTGGGGTGGGCATCTCGCTAACAATGGTTTTACACTAGGTCGAACTGATCTGGGTGAGTGGAGTATCATGTCAGAGGAACACACATGAAAATACACTCAATTCCAGGGGCAACGCTGGTCCTTAATGACAGTTCTGTATCTCGGTGTATGCGGCTTGTTTGTTGTAGTTTCCATGCTAAACTGACTTAAACGTACCCTAGATGCGCTACCTTGGAATCTTATGCAATGTGTATGTTTGAAAGGTTAAGCAATCGATGTCGTATTGATTGTCTATCTCTCATAATCAGTATGACTGTGTGGAGTATGTCTCCTTTGTATATTCGCTGCCTTCGCTTCTCCTAATCAACAGCATACAGGCTGTCTTCCAACCATCTCGCTAACAGATACAGTGAGTTTTCTGCACAGATGCCTACCATCCCCCTTTAATTGATCGTGGTGTCCTGTAGGGGTCAGTGTGATTCTTTACTAACTTCTTAGTTCATTAATGACTGCTACACTATACTGCCCCAGATGTGAGTCCATTCGGAGTGTGTACCCGAAGCTTGTCACCGACTGGATCCGTTAGGCGTTATTTCGTACAACGTACAGGTTTGGATCAGTCTTTCGGTATTTATAATGCTGGGGGGTGAGCTTGGCACTTACGACAGTCATTTCTTTAACTGAAACATGTTGCAAGTCGTCATGATCACTCGGTTATATGCCATGTATCAAGGATCCAGAAAGATCCTGGTATTTCTCAGTGTCATCTTCCTGGCTGACAACATTTTCAACGGAGTGGCCACTCTAATGGTAACCCTACGTGTTTCAGGAGGTACGCTTGATTGTGGATAAAAGTAAACGTGCATAGTATTCATTGATGAATACCAGAGGAACTCATTCTCTCCGGCACTCATCAGTGCTCGATTGACTTTGGAGACGATGGCGTGCGTCTGGATTTCATTATTTGGATACTCGGAACTGTGTGGGAGGTCCTCGCACTATGTCTCGCAATCCGGATTGCTGTAAAACACTTCAACGAATTGCGACAATATTCGACAGGAAATATTACCGGGGACTGTTTCACGGTACTGCTGAAATCTCACATGGTCTACTTTGTGAGGTGAGCTCGTGGTGTGATTATCATACCTCTTACTGAAGTTTTGGCGGTGGTAGCTTTGTTGCTATTTCTTACTTCCAGCTCGCATCTGATTTCTCTCCAGCACTCTCAACGGTAGTATGTCAATCTTTTACTGACCTCTGCGTGCGACCATGGCTCATCGTTTCTATAGGACCAAAATGCCTTGAAGTTTCAGGTTCCAAATTTATTAATCGGGCAGATTTGTGTGCTGGGACCACACCTGATTCTTAGCATTCGAATGTATCACGCTGAGCTCGTGGCCGGCTCCGATACAGCAACCGGCATGAGCTCGATCGCTTTCCAAGAGCGTGTGCATATATCGACTGGCAATAGTATGTGATGCTGTGAAGTTGACGGTTCTCTAGTCTCCAAGGAGAGCAGGGAAATTTGCTTTTATTTATTCGCGCTTTCGTGATGATATTGATCAAGTTCATTTGGTGTTTCGGAGTATATTTCAAGGACACATACAAAAGTGTTCGTCGTAGTATTTAGTCAATATACACGCTTTAATCCAATATCCGAACATCTCTACTGGCACTAGTCGCCTACCCACACTTGCACCAACTATACTGGTCCTGTGTGAGGCATCTGACATCAGCAAACTAAAACTTTTGTCGAGCGTTTTACACGTCATGGCAATCCTCCATAACCAATTTTCCAAAGTCCTAGCGAAGGCAGCGAGGCCAAATTTTGAAAAACTCGTACTCTATGTTTGTATACAACACTGTATGCTGTCGAATACATATGTGTCATTTTTGTATACCGTTGACTTTACAACAGTATTGTACGAACACTGCTTATACATCCACAACTGAAACATAGATCTCGGCATCATGTTCCTTCCTCTCCGATATAGAATCTTCATCTTTGTTTTCACCTCTGATGGCCGGCGTATAGTTGGATATGGGTCCAGTGTACCAATGTACGCCTCCGTACACCGGAAAATAATACCAGGAAATCGCCAGAAACATGAACCCTCCAAGTACCACAACTGTATAGTTCATCTCCTGTGCTGTTGTTTGCGGGATCGCGGGGAAGAAGAAAACAAGGATCATGAAGGCCATCCACGTCACAGCGATCACAGAGACCGGAAAGCTCTGCAGAGGCATATGAGTTCAAGAATACATCGCGCCGATTAACCCACCAGTTTCCCCAGATAAAACGGACCGGGTTTAAAATCATTCTGGAACACAAAGCGGTTGGTGATCGGCGTTATGTAGGCGATATACGACGCGGTGATAGCAATTGTGAATACTGCATCGATGGCTTCGGTGCTCATGAACGACAAAAGTCCGATTGCCAGAGAGCAGATGATTTCGAACCACACTGTATTGACGGGTGTTCCTGTGTAGCGATTGATCCGGTATAAATACCGTGAAAAAGGTATGGCTCCATCACGAGCAAATGCAAACGTTTGGCGAGAGCCGACCAGGAGGAAGTTCGATGCCATGATGTACCTGCTCTATGGTTAGGCTGGGAATACGCTACACGGCACTAAAACGTACTCCGCTATAATAATAAGACACCATAGAGCCAGAGCTTTTTGCTGCCCGAGCGAATTGAATAAGATTTGTGCCATAGGCTGGCCAATAGGGCTATTGAGGAGGCTGCCGACATCAGTGCCCATGCAAAAGGCAAGGGAGATGTTGACTCCTAGATTAGAATGTGTCATCAAGATGAGAGTGACATGTCATCCATTTTACATACCGCAACCAAGGACAGCTGATACGGCAATAGAACTGACCTGACTGGGATAAATACAACAATTAATCATTTCTAGTGTCACTTACTATTGCCCACGGTATCGCCATAGCGGCATTTGAGGCCTCCTCACTCATGTGAACGCTAGTATCATAACCCGCTGGTGGGTTAAAGATGGTCATGAAGCAATGATTCGAGAGAATATGGTCTAACCTATTGTATAAAGAGGAGCCATTAAGCTCAAAATAAATGCGAATACGGATGGCCAGCCAGCCACTACAACTAATTGTGAGCTGCGAGCGTAATTTGACGATGAAACATACAGTTGGTGAATTCCCCTAGCGCAAAATTTGCGCTGTTTCGATAATCCGGTGGCGTCGCGATCGGAAGCGCGATGATGATTATGAAGCAAAGGCTATTGGAGGATTTGAAACAATGATCGTGGACGAACTCTACAACACCTACGCTGCATTCACCAACGTGAATAGTCTCTGCAACCTTGCCAAAACTTTGGTACCGAGGCTCACGATGACAGCTTGTGACAAACCCAAAGCTGCGTATATACCATTATAACAACCAATATGAAGAGTGTCGTGTCTGTATGGGAATGAGCTTACTAGAGCTGCTGGTTGGTAGTCGTATATGTCTGGTCAGAGGAGGTAATACTGATTGCTGCAGTAATTTGAATTGCACAGGCCCAGTTTATGGAAGCTAGCACGCGTGATCAGGGGGAGACTGTTGAAAAAATGAAACCCGTCTTACAAACTCCCGTGATCATCTCTATGGTATTCGAATCTGTAGATGGGTCAGGACTGGCTGCATGTCGCATCGAAATGCAGGACTTACAGCCAACTATCCAAGACAGAAAATTGCGGCATCGTGGAGAAGCGAGAGAGTAAGTCCAATAATATAGCTAGATTGTGTTCAGTCAAGTGTGAAACAGCGACAGCGTCGATGACATACGCCGCCAGAAGTAGGTGCTGCTGATGCGAGCTCTGCCAACGCTAACCCGGTGCACATAATAAAGGGGCAAGCAAATACCCACTGCGCAGAGGAAAGGTGAGACGTTACAAAACAGCAATCTCCACGTGTGATGAAAGCTTACACCCCAAACCATCGCAACAGGTCCACCGTTTGGTATTATATAGAAGAGCACGGAGCTGAACAATTTTTCGTCATTGATATACAATTTAGATTGGCTTGCGCCATAGGACAGCTTACGCTATAGAAGGAACCACTCCAACGATGCTGAATGCAAGTCCAGCCACCTGCAATTGTTAGCTTGTGTCGCGTACGTGGAAGAGTCTGAAATCAAGCTCACCTCTAGCGGAGTGAATTCCCTGCGAAATTCCTGCTTATATCCTAGCTTGGCGAGAGTCGCCTCATCTGCACCTGGTTGCGGGTGCAACTTTGAAATCGCTGAAGCGCTCGGAGCTGCCATATTGCACCGTTGCAAGTGGGCGATTTCGAATGAGCCTGAGCTATTGGCCACACAGTATAAAAGAGATTAGTAGTCGACCGGGAATCACCAGGAAGCACTCTCAGTATCCACCTTAGGTGATCGTGACGACCGAGACTTCCTGATGCCATACATATGGTGGAGCCTCTCTGCGATACAAACGGAAATTGAACCAAGAGATCACTGAAATTTATCTCGACTTACAATCGAACTGCGGATACTAGGCTGTCTGAATCTGACGTGCGTGGTCAATCAGCCAGGGTCGAACAACTGGACATCAACGAGAACTTGAGAAGGCTAGGTCGACATCCAGTCGTGGGCCTCATGCGGGACAGGCGTAGTACAGGCAACCGTACTAGTAGCAGCCTACCGTAACCTTTACCATACCTCTGCTGTCAGCAGAATAAGCGTTCTGGTTCTTGACTTCTTTGCGCACTTCTCAGGCTTGCCACCGCTTTGTCCTTGCTAGCTCTGAGTCGTAGTGAATAGGTTCCGTACTGTGTCTCTAGTCAGGGATGAACGTACGTGTGCTTTGAAATTTTAGCAGGCAAAGACACGTCAAAATCACGTGGCCAGACGGTAGCAACAATGCGTCACATAGAGATCTTGCCTTCGCGTCGCTTCGGGTCATGGATTCGGAGCATGGGCTGATTTGGAGAAACGGCGCGCTGCGAATGGCGATACTTACAGCAAAAGATCAGCTTAAATATGTACAAATAAATGAAGGTGACTCGGACTCGATCATGCCCCGGTATTTGAATATTTGCACCTAAGCATCGATCGGTGAGGCCTAGGTTTCCTAATAGCCTTTTGCCTGGTCGGCCTTCGAGATGACATGCTATTAATAGGTCAGGCTACCAGTTGATAACAGCACGTTTATAAATCCTCATCGCAAACATGTAGACGCCAGTCCATCCTAAAGTTCGCTACCCACAACTTCAGATGACAAGACGATCCGGGTGTGGGATATGAAGACTGGCCAGGGAGTGGATCCCATTTTCCAAGGGCACACCGGAGGTGTTTATTCCATCGCAATCTCACCTGATAGCAGGCGCATTGTGTCTGGCTCAGAAGACAAGACAATCCGAGTGTGGGATATAGAATTTCTCAATCAACCCCACCCTTTCAAAGCGCCTGTGATATGCTTTTCACCTAACCCATCCTATGCTCTTCATTCCCCTTCCTCCTTTCTCCAGGATTCCTCAAACCCAGTCTCTGTTGCTGCGAACGAGGATGGATGGGTTGTACATCCTGACGGGCGGCTTCTTCTCTGGATCCCACTCAATTTTCACCCGGTGATGTATGCCCCAGGAAACACACTGGTCATACACGATCGTGCATCGCAGTTCGATTTGAGTCGTCTTGCGCATGGCACGTCTTGGCACATGTGTCGGGAACAGGAGGCTACTTTGTTTTCGTTATGATACCCTCGTATATCGCACCACACTATACATGATTCGTACCATACGTGTTTGTCTTGGCCAGGGCTTATCAAGTTCATTTCGTCACGTACCAGTCAGATTTTGCTAGCACACAATGTTTGCCATGATACTCCAATTTGTACTAAAGCACAGCCGTACATCATGTTGTTACAACTATCGCTGCTAGCTTCTACATGCATCGCAAATCACATCCCGTCTCTCTGACTCTTCCTGTGATTGGGAACGCGAACGATCGATCAGTTTGATGTTGGTGTTGCATAGGGAGGGATGAGTGGTGTGAGAGAGGCTGGTGAGGAGTCGAGAAGATGGAGGGTAGATTAGGATGCCCCATGTGAAGAGGTGATGTCGGATGGAGAGGTGTATTCGTCGATTGAGACTTGTTCGGCTGTAGGGGAGGTAAATAGGTCTGCACACACCACAGTCTGGAGAAGAAAATAGTTAGAGAACGATAGATATAGGACTTTAGGCTCCAGAAACAATTGGGTTGGATCGTGGATGGCAGAGGTCAGGCCTAGGATTGGTATTAGCAATCTAGTGGTGCGTACATACACTTAAGAGTTTTTGTTGTGGGATCGGTGATACGACGGAACAGAACAGACCTTGAGACTAGATGCGCCCATGAACAACTCTTCAGAGCTCTATGGGATATAGCCCGCCATAGTCCATAGCCATGGTCGGGGCGCGTACAGTTAGCCCGTCAAGACCCGAGCAGTAGCGAAACCTCGTAACTTCATTCACAGGCCAACAACTCATATGTTAGTTGAAAAGGGGATGCAATAAAACGAACCTAGTCAGATGCGCGGAATATTTAGCGTGCGAGCTGAAGTTCCAGCTGCAAATCATGGACGCGAGGGCGATTCCGAAGCCTGCAAGAAGCTCATTGCCTGGTAACAAGACAATTTGAAGACGCCTGCAGCATGATTGATTAGAGACGACGTGGTGTAGAATGACGATAAATCAAAGTCTTATGCAAGACGCTGCGAGAGAATGTCAGCATCAATACATGTAGTAAGGTCATAGGGCGCACCTGTACACCCACCAAACTCTACGTCCTCTACAAGTACGACGCATATATGATAGCAGTACTTATCGTCCTTTGCAAGTGCAATACTGATCTTGTCAGTACCTTTCTTCATGCAGAGAAAATTGGGTTACTTACCTGACAGCATCTCGTGTCTCGCAGCTGCTGCGACTTCTCACATCGCAACACTATTCCTGGTGTTCTTGTACACACCCGTATTATCATACCAAGTCGAGGAGCTGAGAAGATGTGATGGAGGAAGGGCGAATGTGGGTAACGGGTTGACGGGAGTGGTGCTCATTGTCGTCTGCCAGGTCGGACGGAACTGGTTTTAGGTCACTGGATGAGTTATTAATATGGTTTTGATGTGGAAGGAGACTTACCAGTGCGGTAGCGTAGACAACGGACGAGAATATTTGGGATGAGGTCAAGAAGAAATGAGGTCGGTACACCATAGTTGATCGATCTTTGGCTACGGTAGGGCCTGACAAAGGCACATGAAAGTTAGTAAGACCGCTCAGGAATGATACCTGTGACTATCCACAACCGCGGCCGTACACCAAGTAACTCCCATCTCGAGAGAATACCATACAGTCACTGTGTGTCGTTCTCCCGAGAAAGAATCACTTGTGATTGATTCCTGTTGGTGAATTGGATGGCTGACACTGGCTTATAGGACCTTGCCCGTGCCGCGACTGTACGATGTTTCCTACTAGTAGTAAGCTCTGCACGCTAGCTAGTAAATGATCCTGTATGATAGGAATCAACAAACCGTTGGGTGTGAACTTTAATTTCCGTTGACATTATGCCGTGCGAATCTAAGCTGCACCGGTCTTTCTGACTCACAGACAGCACTGATCTGCACAATATTTGGTGCCGGCTGCTGCGAGTCCTAGTCATCGACAACCAGCTCGCCGGTCTCGAGTCGTGTCCCAAATGATGTCCACCAAACGCCACGTGCTTACCATTTTGATGTTCGTAGTAATGTCTCGCCGCCAGCTTGCATGCGTGGCTTCTCTGGCCGAGTTCCTATGTCGGTCATCCCTGGCCAAGCACAACTTCAAAGGACTTGTGAACTTCAGCCCGTCGCAGTCAAGTCGCAGTAAGTTATTTCCTCACAGTATTTGATATACAGTTGACGACAATTCATGGCATGCACGACAACCCCTGTACATGTGTGCAAAGAGTCGTGTTTATTTTAGGACATGACCACCCATTCCCGATTTCGGAATACGGGCGCGCCCATACTATAATTTGAAAAAGCTCCAATGCTAAGCTGCATAATTATGGACACCGGTTCGACTCAGTAGGTATTCCAGTTGGCTATTTTTCCTCTCCAATAATTAACAAACCTAATAGACGTTCCTCTTGGGTTCATCGTGCGCTACGGGATCTTCGCCCTCGAGCCCTACTAGCAGGTATGGTACGTTAATGACCTCGCTATGTGTCCAACATACAATGTACCTTTAATGAACCAAACGCGTCCTCAACAATCCAGTACCGTACAGCTAACTTATCGTATGCCACGGCCTCGGCTGACTCCAGTGCACACATGTCAATGGTGCCGATTCCTTTCTGGTACTTTCCTGAATTATACTGTTATCTGCTCTCAACTATTTGCCTATAGCGTTCACCCAACATCAGTGATTTTATGTCCGCTCAGGGCCCAGCCACCGTTTGCAAGATAGCTTGCAAGATATTCCTACTTGAGTGTGGACGATCACTTAGTCCCCTGCTTCCGTTGATGCGATGAGGCGCTTATGACTCAAATTGCATCGCGTCTACAACCAACTATAACATGGTTCTATATTTATACCGATGACATTAATTATAGCCTCCGTTTTCAAATTAACTGCACCTGCGGAATCACAGCAACACCTGATAGCGGTCCAGAATGTCGCAGACCTGTCGCCTGAGCTCAGCAGCCATCATGATTCAATAACCTTGGATGGATAATATTCATGTGCCTATACAGGCACTTGATAGCTCCAAGACGTCGCCGCAATGCGGTCCAACGAATCAAATTATAACAATAACATATTGTTAGATTGCAGTATGTTTTTAAGCTGCGGAGGTATAATTAGATTCGACTCATCAGTTTGTCGGGTGTTCATTCTACACGGCAACAGGGATATGTCGCGGGAGGAAGCAGCTACTCACGCTCTTGAAAATTGTTGTAAGCCAACCTTTTACTTACAGAGCTCATTCAATCTGACGTTACTTACTGGGCAGCTACTATGCAACGTAGCTGCGGCACCAAAGATCTCCGCTTATAAACAGATCCATCTCCATACCAGTCTTGAACTCGGCAACTGTCAAATTTATCGCTACAGCGCCTGGGACCAAGTCTTGAAGATCTGTGGTCGGGGCTATTTTGACAATTCTGCCGAGGCTTGATGTAAATGTAAATTTTCTACTACCGGTATCGCTTGGCTAGTGATTTGATCATGTTGCATTATACAAGGCGGTCCGTCGTGTCCTGCATGCCCAAAATAGGTCTGAAGGCGGTAGGTATAATTGACATGACAGCCTAGTTGCGTCTCGAATCATCAATGCTTATTCAGGTGATCCGTTGCAACGCCCCCGGCCAACGACATCCACAAAACGTGTGCGTATCGCTGACGGAGAGTGCCTTTGACAGGTAATTAAAATTTCCATTCTACAAAGTCCGTAGTGCATTCGGGTTGATCAGTGGAGACCTATAGCTGGGAACCTGCTGGGACGTACCAGCACAGGGGTTTACTGCCTCATCATTTTGATCCACGAATCGGAAGATATGTAGACCAACTCTCTGATCTAGAGGGCGATACGAGGAGCACTACTTAAGCTGGAGGATTCAATGTATTTCGCTCATCATCATCCTCCTCCTATTGACTCGAGTTTCGAGTCATGTTCCAACTCTATGTACTCATATGCCTTCTGGCATGCCTCCAGGGTCGTGCCGTGACTATTGGCCCAGTTTCTGACCTCGTCATTGCCAATGGCATTGTATCCCCAGACGGGTTCACCAGATCGTCAGTGTTTGCTTAATTTTCGACCTATTTGATTACTGAATCCATTACAGAGGGGTTCTTGCCGGTGGCACTCATCCCGGGCCCACTATTGTAGCTCAGAAGGTAGCATCTACTTTGCATGCGCAAACTCTTGGTTGACCTCATGTGTATTAGGGGGATACGTTCAAGATCAACGTCACGAACCAATTGACTAACGATTCGATGCTAACGAGTACAAGTATTGTGAGTACCAGCCGGTAAATGCATATAGGAGCTTACGATGATGTCTGTTGCAAACAGCACTGGCATGGACTATTCCAGCACCATAGCAACCAAATGGACGGCGTGTCATTTGTTACTCAATGTCCGATCGCTCCGGGACACTCTTTTTTGTATAACTTCAATGCTAGCGACCAAGTGGGAACATACTGGTACCACTCTCATTATGGAGTACGTACTTCGATTTATTCATGATGTCGGAAACTGATTCTAATTTAGGAGCAATACTGTGACGGTCTACGAGGTCCGCTGATCATCTACAATCCCAACGACCCATACAGTTCATTGTATGATATCGATGACGGTGAGTGCGTTCGACGAAACGGAGTTGTGATTCTGACATTTGAGTAAAGAATCTAGCATCATCACATTGATGGACTGGTAAGAAAAGAAAAGGCTGATACATTTTTTTGTCATTAATTCGGCTTGCTTTGTAGGTATAACTTGCCATCGCCTCTAGTGCCGAGACAAGTGACTGCCGACTCAGTGCTTATCAACGGTGTCGGGCGTTATGATGGAGGGCCAAATGTGCCTTTCGCCGTCATCGACGTTCAGCCAGGAAAGCGATATCGTTTCCGCTTGCTGAACATGGCGTGCAAGCCCAACTACATTTTCTCGATCGACAGCCATAATCTTACCATCATCGAAGTCGATGGTCAATACGTCGAGCCGCTCGTAGTGGACTCTATCCAGATCTACGCTGCGCAACGATACTCCTTCATTCTTGAGACGAACCAGCCTATCGACAACTACTGGGTGCATGCCGATCCAGATGCGGGTACAAATGCCACGGCTATCTTTCGATATGCAGGTGCTCCCGACGCAGACCCCCAGAACATGACAAACTCGGACTGGGATGCTCTGAATGAGACTAGCCTACACCCCCTAACTCCGCCTTCGCCTCGTTTACTGCAGGAACCAGACGTCAAACTTGACCTTGTTCTTGGGAAAAATCTGTCCAATTTCAACTTTCTCATCAATAACGTCCAGTACACTTCTCCTAGTATCCCTGTCCTACTACAGTTACTGAGCGGTGCTATGACGGCTGCGGATCTTGCGCCCAACGGCTCCGTATACACTCTGCCACGGAATAAGGTTATCGAACTTACGTTCAATCCCGATAATTCCCCTGGGGGTCCTGTGAGTCCATTTCAAAATGACATGTATATCCTTGGCTGACATGTCTTTACAGCATCCATTCCATCTTCATGGGGTACGTCTTGGCATGTCATCTACATACACTCGATGGACTAACCATAATTGGTTTGTAGCACAGTTTCGCTGTTATCAGAAGTGCTGGAAGTACCGCTTATAACTACGTCGACCCCGTCATGCGCGATACAGTGACCACTGGCAACACTGGTGATCGTGTGACTATCCGGTTCATCACCGACAACCCTGGGCCTTGGCTGTTACATTGGTAAGTGTTGTTTGTATCTATGTCTTTTTAGCTGGTGATGACTTTTTGTCTTTGTGAAGCCATATCGATTGGCATCTAGCCGCGTGAGTTGCTCCTTTCACTGAGCCTGGACTCGAATTGATCATTGGATTCGTAGCGGACTGGCTATTGTATTCGCAGAGGCTCCTGAAGATGTTGCGGCTTCGCAGCCTCTCAATAGTAAGCACCGAGCACTATGAACCAAACCGTGTCTGACGATCAACGTTAGATGCTTCGAAGCAGCTCTGTCCGATATATAATAGCATTCCTCAGCAAAATTTCCCTCTCCCTCCCGTTGATTGATATGTTTGGTTTATACCTCCGTTTTTCTGGAGAACATCAAACAGGACATTTTCAAATACGATTTGTAGATTCATAATAAGGGTCGGACACGATAGATAGTAAATAGCCCTCATTCTTAATGCAGAAGTGATGTCCGAGCTGTGATCGACAGCCATTCGTGCCGTTCGTCCGTATGCATCAGCATTTAGCTACAAATACATGCACCCTGTAACTTGAGTTCCACATGGAGAGAGCTTAATTAAGATGCGTCCAACCGCACCGCATAGAGGTACCAGAATAACATCATCTGATTTTGATCGTCTATACTTGCAAATCTGAAAGGGAACGGCCGCGAAGGAAAGGGTTCGCGGGTTACTATGTCAAATTGAAGGTGTACACGGCACCAGAGGTGAGTCAACATTCCTGTATAATGATATACTGCGGTCCTCAGGCCTCAGCGCTCAGCTGGAGAAGGGTAGTGCTTTTCTGATCGGCGAGGCGTAATCTCATTCTGTTCTACTTCGTGTGCTAAAAATGTACGTACACTGTTCGTTGGACAAATATTAGCAAGCGCCGCCGAACCAACTCATTGGCGATCCTTAGCGTACAGCCTCAATAGCAAGAAAACGCATTGCGCATTTAGAATCTCAATTTAGACCTAGTCAGTTGGACAAGGGCCCCTTGGTGCCCGCAGCCAACATTGAACACGTCACTGTCAACAAATACTTATCCGAGACACTAAGCTCATTGACCGAGTCCGTCCTCAATCATCTACTCTCGTGCGTATAATAAGGATATCAGAATCCATTTTAACATACCAACCTGAGCTAGTCTGCACCCTGATAGTACTGTAGCTCTACGATGTATTAAAAGCAATACCCTTCTCGCAAACCTTCCCTAATTCGAAAGCTACACAGCAATGAGACTTCATAGTAATGCAAGAAGAAAAAAGCAATACCTCTCTCGGATATATTGCCTAGTTGTAGCGCTTCTCGTCCTTGAGACGGTAAACAAAAGCCTCTGATGTGACAAGGTGTTATACATAGTGATCCACCAGGCCTGTGACGACTTACTTCTCTTGTGAACATGGTGGGATCCAACGTCCTCGCGCGCCATGTCGCCATCATCGTCACCACCGTCGGCGTCGTCCCTTTCATTGATTAAATGAGAGACGGAGGACTTATGAACCTCTTCGCCGCCTTCGCCGTCGCCGTCCTCCTGCCTTTCATTGATCGCATGAGAGATGGAGAACTTATGAACCTCTTCGCCGCCTTCGCCGTCGCCGTCCTCCTGCCTTTCATTGATCGCATGAGAGATGGAGAACTTATGAACCTCTTCGTCGCCGTCGCCGTCGCCGTCCTCCTGCCTTTCATTGATCGAATGAGAGATGGTGAACTTATGGACCTCTTCGTCGACTTCGCCTTCATCTTCGCCCTCTTCCTGCCTTTCATTGATTGAATGAGAGACAGAGGACTTAGAGTCCTGGGAGCTTATCTTGTGAACGACATTGTCAATGTCGTCGTTGTGGTTGGCTTCGCCGCTTGCATCAGAATTGAGGGAACGAGGCGACACGAGTGTATCTCCAAAGTTGACCGAGTCAGGTGTACTAAGTTTGAAGGCACTAGCAATGATCCCAATATCATAATCAATTGTGGTAGGATTAAGCTCCTGGGGCTTATCCAGAGCTGCATAGCATCTCCGAGTCAGCGTCACTCCCATCAACAAGAACGGCACGAGTCCTCTCACAAGTACGTGTTTCGACCAATTTTGGCGTCGGATATGACACAGCAATAGCAGCGAATGTAACGAGTGTGGTGAAGATGAGTGTGAGATGCATGGTTGGAAACCACAGTGGGTATTTGGGTGCTATGGACCCTCTAGTAAAAATTGTGAGGGCTTTTAACTAAAATGTAGTATCGTAAGAACCACCTAGGTTCATCGGATACCTTCCGACTTGACACTTACTGGACATGTTTGATTTCGGATCCGTGGCTGGCTAAGACGAACTTCACCTAATAGGCTGTTAGGCCAGGGTCTCTTAGATCACAAGTACTCCCGAGAAGTGCTGCCTGGTGGCGTTATATTGGCGTTCAACATCTCCACCAATCGCCTGAGTGCGCTACTGAAGTCGTAAGCGTTGTAAGTGTCCGTAACGCGCGTAAGTTAAGCGTTCATTTCAATCGTTTCGCAGATCAGTGGGAGTCGGCTTGGAGAGAGTGTAGTAGGAAACCAAAAAGAGGTTTTGCAATGATGCGTGACGTGCAAGACGGTGCCACGACCGGTCCAATTGCAAGTCTCTCGTCGTTATCTCAATCAAATGTTTCCTACTTGATACTCATAGATGTTCAGTCTTTTCGTGTGACGTGCTTTTGACATTCAGTTTTACTTCGTGTCAGTGTCATTCGAGACATCATGCATCATTGAGAGAGCTTAATCAAGATGCGTTCAACCGCACCGCATAGAGGTACCAGAATAACATCATTTATTTTTGATGGTCTATACTTGCAAATCGTCTGATTTGCTGTGCAGCTGTAGACATCGCAGTGATAGTTCCATAGAAGTTCTTTATCACAGCCTCACAGCCTCAGTCTATGTTGGCAATCAAATCCACACTCTTTCGAGCCATTGCCTCATGGCTGCAGACTCATGTTTTTCATTGAACTTTCTTGGAGTGGTGAACGAAGTTACATTGGCCAATCTGCGGTGCGGATAACATTCGTTGCTCGCTTCACAACCTTCTGATCAGTCTGAGCATCATTCAGGCTCTCTGCACCTTGGGTTTGTACATCCAGGTTGCAGTCTGCTACAAGGCTTGCATGCCCGCCCATTACTGGTCCCTATGATTGATTTCACCCATTCTATACCACGTGGACTTAACGAACGATCTACCTGGAAACGCTTGATGCTACAGAAGGGGGTGGCGTCTCGCTTTATCGTAGCGTTAACGGTTGCGCATTCTAGCTCAATCTTACGAGAATAGCAAGGCCTTCTCAATCTCATGATGCTACGACACTTGCTGCTCTTCGCATTGATCGGGTCAAATTTGAACCAGGGTCTACCATCGTGCCTTTGCCTATGGCCCGCCTGTCATGCAAGGATACTAGTATTACTTCCTCCTAAGGACTCCACACCTATGCAATCTATTGGGATGACGCGCACTTCACGCCATCCTACCTCTCATTCCCGTCCACGTCGCACAGTACAGTATATTTCTACGAGAGACGTCTCAGATAGACAGGGCCTCCTCGCGCGCGCCCAATGACAATACTTGAGTGTCTTTCGCAAGCATGCAGTCGACTCAAAGGTATGACTCGTTGAAAATGATAAGCTGATATCAGATTGTTAACCAATAGTATGTTCTAGACAATCTGTCAGCCTGAGAGTGTCTGATGTCAAGAGGCAAACCCGGTGTCACGTTTGTTCTATCTGTCTAGCATTCCAACTATCTTTTTAGGCTATTGGGGCAACGACGGCAAGCAGACCTAATAAGCAGGCCTTCACATATATATAAACTTGATGTAGACCGACATACTCTTTATGTTTGAGCGTTCCTTAACATCTTCCAAGGTCATTGAACAGGTCTGCGCGATATCCGAACAGTGGACATGGCCCGTGCATGACTGGCGAAGTTACCCATAGCAGCGGAGTATAGTGAATATGATGAGACGAACTTTCTCGCCTCCTCAGTATATTATCTCAGTCCCACACCATGTCAGAGAATACGAAAAATGAGATTCTCGACAACTTTACATGCAGACTTTCACGTAAATGCATATCTGGGGCCCCGCTGGCCTCGGGACGATTACAAGAAGGCGGCTGTCGAAATGTCCATATGATTGGAAGAAGATATTTCCATTTTAGGCCATATCATTACGGTTTAGGTCCACACTTCCCTTGACGTTTGAGCATACATACACTCTAGAGGCATCTGGCTGCGCACCCAGACCTCCTGTACTACTACAGCGCATCGACTCCCCACCATAAATCATGATAAGTCCCAATGATAACGGGTTTTCAGATGCAGATATCAAAGGGCTCAAGCTCGCATTCTCACAACACTGCAGCACTGCCAACGAAGCGACCAGCTCGGAGCTGGGGATAGCTCTACCACCAGCGAACTACAGAACTGGCTTGCAGTTTAACAAGGGTGCAGGTATCCATGAGAAACGAAGCCCACCAGGTGGTATCTGGATGGAATCACCGGTAGACGTCAAAGGCAAGGGCATCGCACGGAGCCTTGACTGGCATTTGGCTACCATGGCATCGAATGATAAGGAGCGCGAAGGTTCGTATATGATCTATCGAATGACGAACTACATTTGACCATTTCGTTTCTTGCACCCCTCTCTACTCACTCAAAATGCGATGTCCCTACTCGCATGAACGTTCACAGAAATAACTTACAAGCTCCTCGAGTGTCTGCCTCGTTCTGTGCTTGCGAGTCTGCAGCGCAGAATGACCCCTCTGTTGCAGTTCGATGTCGTAGGGGTGAGTCCGACGTTTTCTGTCTAGCAGCCCTGACTGATCAACTGATTATTTTTAGGCCCTTCCCACAGAACTATCTCTTTTCATCTTCACGTATCTTCCAGCAGCTTCCTTGCTCGCGTGCTCTCTTGTTTCTAAACGTTGGCACACCCTTGCAACAGACCAGGTACTTTGGCGTCGTCTTTGCTATGCACACGGCTGGGAATGGCGCACGGACGTCGCTGCGCTCACTCCTTGGGATGGACTTGGTGATGCGGATCCTGCGGATGCAGTTGTTCGCGAAGAAAGGGATGAAGATGAAGGTATGGGCGATGAAGAGGAGGACGAAGACGAAGGGAGCGGTGAAGGCGCAGGAGATGTCATCGATTTCATAGGGGACGACTCGGTAGACTGGACGTCAATGCCGATGAACATCGACGATATTGAAGTACAGGGTCTATCCCATCTCCTAATACCTATCACTTCAGTTGCGTTATCTTCCTCTTCGACAAGCGCCATCACTCCGATATCCCGTATCACATTGCAGCATGGCGTTTTGCCACGAAATGTGCATCTTGCGCCGGACTATAAGCTTCTCCACCAGACGCACATGCTCCTACACAATCGTTTCTGCCAGGGCGCATATCGTAGGCGTATCCTGCCTGGCGCAGATGCCGGCGGACACAGCGCTGCAGTGTATTGTCTCTGGTTATGGACGTATCCAGCAGGGCTTGATGGTCGGTCCGCACCCCTGCAGGTGCTATTTACGGGTTCGAAGGACCGCACTGTTCGGGAGTGGGATCTGCGCACGGACCGCGTACGGCGCGTGGTCGGTGAATTGCATGATTCTAGTGTCCTAAGCTTATGCGTATCTTCCGACTTTGCGAAGTCGGGAGATGGAGAGGAGGTTTTGGCAAGTGAGCCTAGTAGGGCTGGGTTTCTGGTGAGTGGAGGGAGTGATAGGCGTGTCGTTGTTTGGGATCTCGGCAAGGACAGGCTGGTCAAGGTGCTGCAAGATCATCTTGACAGCGTACTTTGTGTTCGTGTCGATAATGGGAGGCTTGTGACGTGTTCCAAAGGTTTGTTTGATCTACGGCTCTATCTGTCGATTGACTGAATGTTTACTTTCCAAGACCGAACTGTCAGAACATATGGGTTTCCGTCGCTGAAGCCTCAATTCGTGTTTCGTGCACATCGTGCAGCTGTTAACGCCGTTTCCGTTGTTGGTGACGTGATAGTGTCTGGCTCTGGCGACCGTTCCATACGCGTTTGGAATGCAAACACTGGTGCGCTCATCAGCACCTTTGAGGAACACCATGCACGAGGGTGAAGCTCTTCCTGAATTTTCCATTAGTAGATATGATTGCTAATATACCGTCTTCAGCATTGCCTCTATCGAGTTCAAGCCCCCATATTTGTTGTCCGGCTCATCAGACATGCATTTGCGCATGTTTGATATAGCATCGTTGCAAGGCTGGTCGACAAACCCTGAGGTCAACACTATTCCCTCATCCACGGTTCCTACCTTGACCTCCTTGGCATCGCACGGTCAAGATAATATTGCAATGATACCGGGACAGGGGATGGCGCCATTCTTTTTGCATTCCTCCCTGACACGATCCATGTCTGATACCCCGCGGCCAGATGCAAACACTATCGTATGTCATGCCTGTGGGTCGCATGGATTGGCTGCACGGCGCGAGCAAGAGAGACACACCCATCTTGTGCGAAGTGTTGCCCTTGGGGAGGAGTTTGCCGTCAGTGGGAGCTATGATTTAACCATTAAGGTATGTTGGGTGCAATCGCAGGGAACAAACGAGACTTATGACTTTGTGTTGACACAGGTGTGGGATAGGAAGACAGGGGCGCTGGTCGCTGACCTGAATGGCGGGCACACAGGAAGGATATTTTGTGTAGGTTTTGATTGTACCAAGGTCCGTGATTTCTAATTGTATGTTTAACTTGATTGAATCTCGCACAAACTATGCAGATTGTTTCGTGCGGGGAGGATCAAGTGAGTGTATATACTTCTCCGCGTTAGCCTAAAGCTGACCGCGCACATTACAGAGGATCTGTATTTGGGATTTCTCACATGGGATTGATACATCTTTCATCAAATTGTAGCTCTAGAATCATGCGATACCCTATATTTTGGAAAGCTTCCTCTCTGTAGATTGCTTATCGATTGGTGCTGCCAAAGCCTGAAATGCTGCAAGTACAGGAAAGATCGGGCGTTGTAGGCGGGCGATTGCCTGCTAGAGTGGACCTTGCATGATCATGATGTCACGCAAGAATGCGACTGCAACCACCATGAACACACAAGTTTGACTACTTACTGACTTTCCTCATCTCCGAGTTGTCTCCGAGTCTAATAGTAATACCATTCTACGTTTATTTTTGTATCGTCGTGCCCCGCTCGCCCTTCCCTGTTCTACAGTCTTTCTGATTCCAGTAAATCGTCAATAGAATGATACAATTAGGCTATTCTGACTACTTACACGTGTAGGATTTTGAATCAATGATGCTGAGTGAACCATCATGGGCTGTATCCAATATCTGCAGCAGTGTAACTCGATCGTTGAGTGCACCAGCTTCAAGTTACTCATGTGCATAAGTCATGACCTTTTTCTCAATTGACCTGTTCAGCCTTGGATCACGATCTAACATGGTATTAGTGGTCTAGTCGATCGATAACTGGCACTTTGAAGTTCTAAGCACATGTCCATCATTAATGATCCTCATCG